TGGATTTCACGTTTCGTTTCTTCTTTACGACATGATGATGATATGTGGGGTTTAACGTCCAAAAACCACCATATCAGTATGACAGATGCCATAGTGGAGGGCTCCGTAAATTTTTTTCTCTACGACATTGTTGGGCTGCTTGAGACCCCTTTCAGTGTCACGAGTATCACCAGTGTATACGTAATCATAACTCGCACAATACGCCCGGCAACACGGCAATCGACTGCTTGGTGGTACGCGTCTTTGCAAGAAAAAAAGGACTGCCGCGAAGGATTCATCTCAGACCGCTCGCGATAGAGACCATTCCACGCACTCTGAAAAAATACGATGACAATCTACTTTAATGTGTGCGCGCTGCCAGCGTAATTTGTTCAGCTGTACTTACGGCGAAGAACTAGAACAGACAGACACACAAAGAACTTTATTGGATCCTGAGAAACGCTGCTCCTTTAGAGCAACGTCACGGGCCGCTACCACGTAGGAACGGGGAGGCCTAGCCTCACCGCCGCGTCCTGGGCTCTCTGGACAGCCCGTAGTTGTGGTAGCAACTCTGAACTTCGTAAGAAAGAGTCCCAATCTTCTTCTGTGAGCCGACTTGGGCCCCGTAACGAGAGGCACTGCCAGAGCATATTTGCTAAGTCACTAACCGCACCACAATCAGGACAGGTAGAGTCAAAAGCCTCTGAGGAGACTATGCTGAGGAAAAATACGTTTGAATAGAACCTGGTCTGGAGCATTCTAAACGTGATGTCTTGAGGTCTAGACAACTTGTGTGGTGGAGCAAGCGACCGCCTACTCAACTGGTAGTGTTTGGCCACTTCACCTAATGTAAGTAAAGTGTCCCTGAACATCTCACTGCCAACCTGCGGACCTACGTCCTCCCCAGCGCGGAGGGTTAGTGCGCGCGCCCGGGAGTGAGTAGTGTCACTCAGGTTTAATTGAGAGTCCAGTAGGAGTTCGAGATGTGCAGGAAATCAGGTAATGCTATGGGGAGAAAGTGTCCTAATTTGAAGTAGTTTAAATACTTCAGTACAGACGGAACCAGAGGCGAGAGCCTTGACCGCTGACCGTGAGTCGGTGAAGATTTGCCATCTACTGTCATCCAAAAGGGCAAGAGCTACAGCCAACTGTTCGGCACTTGAGGGAGTAGAGTTCCTCACTGACACAGCATTGATAATAGAGCCCATATGATGAACGGAAATAACAAAAAACCTAGCTGAGCGACCGTACTCAGCGGCATCGACCAAACAATCTGAATGAGGATCGTTCCTGATGTTCTTCAGAAGTGTGATGGCCCTAGCCCGGCGCCTTCCTACGTTGTGCTGAGGATGAACGTTTCGCGGAAACGGAGAGACCTAGATAGCAGTACGCTGTTCATCTAATAGTTGAAGACAGTGATCCTCTACGAGCGCCGGACTGAGGTCTAGGACGGACAGAATCTTTCTACCAGCCGGCGTAGACGACAGACGCTTTAGTTGTGCAGTCTCTTCGGCTTTATTGATCTCATCTAGGGTGTTATGAAGTCCTAGCTGCATAAGCCGTTAAGTGCCTGTGCGCACGGGGATGCCCAACACCCTCTTTACGCTTTTTCTGATCAGAGTTTCCAGCTTCTTCTTTTTGAATCCATCCCAAGAGTGCATGGCCGCAACGTATGTTATGTGGCTCATGAGGAATGCATGAAAAGAGCCTCAGTAGATTGTCTTCTCTGAGTCCCCCCTTTCTGTTCGAAACCCTATTAATCAACCTGATCATGTTCTCGGTCTTGGTTGAAATCTTAGCGAAGGTTTGTCTGTTGTACCCGTGCGACTCTATAATCATGCCCAGCACACTAATAGCGTCCACTCTCAGAATGGGGACGCCACTTTCGGTGTGAAGTACAATGTCTACCTGTGATAAAGGCTTCCACTTTTTTGGCTTGGCTCCTTTTCTATTGGGCCTGTATAGAAGCAGCTCCGATTTACTCGAGGAGCACCTCAGCCCTGTGCCAGCAAGGAAGAGCTCTGTCTGATCGATGGCTTCCTGGAGTGCAGTCTCGACTTCTCCTTCGCTACCTCCGGGTCACCAGATGGTAATATCATCAGCGTAAAGCGTATGGTTGATGCCCTTCACGAAAAACTGGAAACACATTTTTATTTTACTCGTGAAACAAGGCTTCCGCGTTGGTGCCAAAATTTCTTCCCACGCTCGCGCGCGCGTGCGTGTTTGAGTGAGTAAGTGTGTGTGTGTGTGTGTGTGCGTGTGTGTATGTGTGTGCGTGTGTGTGTGTTTGTGTGTGTGTGTGCGTGTGTGTGTGTGTGTGTCTGTGAGTGTGTGTGTCTGTGAGTGTGTGAGTGTGTGTGTGTGTGCGTGTGCGTGAGTGTGTGTGCACGTGTGTGAGTGTACGTATTCGTGTGTGTTTGTGTGTGTGTGTGAGTGTGTGTGAGTTTGTGTGTGTTAGTGTGTGTGAGTGTGTGTGAGTATGTGTGTGTGTGTGCGTGTGTGTGTGAGTGTGTGTGAGTGTATGGGAGTGTGTGTGTGTGCGTGTTCGTGTGTGTTTGTGTGTGTGGGTGTGGGTGAGTGTGTGTGTGTGTGAGAGTGTGTGTGAGTGTGAGTGTGTGTGAGTGTGTGTGTGTTTGTGTGCGTGTGTGTGTGAGTGTGTGTGAGTGTGTGTGTGTGTGTGTGTGAGTGTGTGTGTGCGTGCGTGTGCGTGTGTGTCTGCGTGCGTGCGTGTGTCTTTGTGTGTGTGTCTGTTTGTGTGTGTGTGCGCGCGCGTGTGTGTGTGTGTGTGTGAGTGTGGGAGAGTTTGTGTGAATGTGTGTGTGAGTGTGTGTGTGTGTGAGTGTGTGTGTGTGTGTGCGTGCGTGTGTGCGTGCGTGTGCGTGTGCGTGTGAGTGTGAGTGTGTGTGTGTGTGCGTGTGTGTGAGCGTTTGTGCGTGTGTGTGCGTGTGTGTGTGTGTGTGAGGGAGTGAGTGAGTGTGTGTGTGTGTGTGTACAGTCATCTCTATATAACTGTACCCGCACGCTCTTCAAAATATTTATCAACTCCGAAATGCTTTCAGACATTTTGAAACTAATTCGTTAATACCAAGTCGTATAATTTGTGTCTAACTCTAAACGAATGTACATTTCATCACCATAGCTTCATTTTAATTTTTGTAGACATTATATCGCAATCAAAAGAAAGCGACCAGGATGTAGGAACTTTTCATTACGGTATCCTTCTTTGCTTTTTTATCATAATTTTTGGAACAGTTATCAAGTTTCTCTTTTTTTACGACAATGCTGTTTCCAACTTTTGCATGTCTATATACAACAAATAGTGCAGATGAAAACTAACAACCGCATATGCATGCTCTGAGTGGACTGAACATATCTGCATTTACACATCCCTCGAACATACCTGCAGTAATGGTGGAGGCATATTTGCACACTACGTGAATAGTATATCTGGGAGAATGGTAAACAGGGTCCATATGTTAAAGTTTCCAATGATGAAACTGCCACATTGAGTTCAAAGCGTTTTGTCTTGGTCTTTCTTTATAACGTGAGCGCACACAGTCGCACATGTAAAATGCAAATATATGTAACGTGTGAAAGATTGTTTGCCGCGACAAGTCTCATTTATGGTCCTGCGAAATGGAAAGACAAATAGGAATCTGTCGCGACTGTCGCTGTTTCGAAACACGTGACGACAGTCTAAAATACGTGAAAGAGCGTGGTTCTTATTGCTATGTTTAGAGAATAGGCTCATCTATTGGCTTTTTTTTCTTTTCTTGCTTCGCTTGTATCGTTCGCGAGAGCGCAAAATACGCACGTATTCATCAGAACAATTTAGGCCTTCAGAAGCGCACTGGGATGATCCTTCGGCTAGTGGCTTTGTGCTTATTTGCCTTTATCACGGTCTGTCTTCATGGATTAAGAGTAAGAAGAGATCTCAGGGAAACCGCTGGGCTTATCAAGGAATAATTTCGTATGGTCTTCATTTTTTTTCATCCGCGTTTTAGCGCTCAGTATTATTTCATAAGTTTAAAAAAAATCAATGCCTAATTATTCGACGTCAGAGGAACGATTGCAGTAACTTGCATTACCACCAGCGGTGGTGCATCGTTCCCTTTTTGTGACAGCTCGATCTTTGATGGGACGGCGATGCACTTGTTGTGGGCTCGTACGGGCCTATACACTTAAGCTGTCATCGCTACTTCCGTGCAACAGGCCTCTGAGGTGGCTGACTGTTCGACCTGAACCTGTTTATTTGAAAACCTTGGCTGTTTGAGTTCGCGTATGAAAAAGCTTGCATGTCTATTTAACGCGAAAGCGCTAAGAAGCTTCTTTTGTAGGAATTTCGGTTTTGGCGTATGCATCGGTGTCCATGGTTTCTTTTGATTTGATTTGACAAAGTTTCTTTTGATTTGATTTGAAAGTTTGAAATGACAGCGCCAAATTACGTAATGCATATATTACTAGGAGATTTTAAAATGATTAGGGGCGAAACAAAAGCACTTTTCCCAGTATTTGAAAAAAGCCTGTTTCCTACAGAGAAAGAAGAAAAGACCACAGACATAATTTGCGAGCCGAAACCGCACGTCAATTACATGCAGATGTGTATCACGCTCTATGTATGTGCGAGCGTTTGTGTGTCTCCACAAAATTGAACCCACTATCACAAATGCTGTCACTCTTAACAATCTTCTCTACCCAATCAGAACCCCGCCGCGGTGGTCTAGTGGCTAAGGTACTCGGCTGCTGGCCCACAGGTTGCGGGATCGAACCCCGGCTGCGGCGTCTGCATTTCCGATGGAGGCGGAAATGTTGTAGGCCCGTGTGCTCAAATTAAGGTGCATGTTAAAAAACCCCAGGTGTTCGAAATTTCCGGAGTCTTCCACTACGGCGTCTCTCATAATCATATGGTGGTTATGGGACGTTAAACTCGACATATGAATAAATCAAAATGCACCCATTCAGAAAGCTTACAAAGGCGGAAATTTCATTTCAACACTTGTTTGCTCTGTTATCATGTGCAGGAGGCGGACATGGCCATCGTGGACCTCACCATCACATACATGCGAGCACAAGTGGTCGACTTTACGATGCCCTTCATGAAAACCGGCATTAGTATCTTATTCCGGAAGCCACTCCTGGACAACCCCCCTCTGTTCTCCTTTCTTCTGCCTTTCTCTGTGGACGTGTGGCTCTACATGCTCACAGCCTACCTAGCTCTCAGCCTGTGGTACGGGTTCCTAGGACGGTTCAGTCCCATGGAAAATCGTTTCGCTCTAATTCGTTTCACCTCCGGTACGGCCGCGCCTCAGTGGGACACTGAGGAAATAGAGAAGGAGCTGGACATCACCCATCGGTTCTGGTTCGCCATCGGTTCCCTCATGCAACAGGGCTCGGACCTTAACCCCAGGTGAGACGGCTACGGTCTAAAGCTCTATACCGTAGACAAGGGCTTTGCGTACAGAAAACTGGCTAGTTTGTGCGAGTCCATAGCTGAAGCTGCCTAGCCTGACGTCAGATTTGTCTAAGAAGTAGCAAGCTGAAGAAGCCAAGATGTGAAGTGTTTTCTGGCAGATCAATGAACATTTTTTGTTGGCTAGAAGTGCTTACTATGCTCTTAGCACCTACACAAAAGAACACTTCATTGTGCTTCTTTTACAAGACGATGGGATATGCTACAACTGGTAAGTAATGAGAATGGAAAATATTAAGAAGTTAAAAACCAGCCAAATCGCACATTTCCTCCTGCGCAACGCCCGTGTAGTTTATGCAACTTCATTGCTTGATCGTGACCTCAATGAAACTAGGCATTTGAATTTATCTCGTAATGTTTCTCGATAGCGCTTTGGATAATTTTCTTGCTCGGGTCAGTTTCAGAAGTGGTAGGAGGAAGTCTCTCTATAAACATGGCACTACAATGATGTGGAAAAGCTAGCCATGTTGTACGGCTATAAACAAGCCATGCAGTAGATCAGGTCAGTCGTGCAGGCACGCGTTGTTGAAAAAAAGTATCGACATTGGCTGCCTAATAATTTTATCACAAAAGACTTGTACACACTAACGAAAACTCTTGATCTTTTAGTATTACAATTACCTCCTTTAAAATTTATTTGATTACAGTTGTCTACTACAGTCCACGAAAAGAAACTCAGCAATAGGAGAAATGCAATCAAATCTTTTGCACTAATATTCTTCTGTTTTTCATTATACATAAACTATAACACAAAAAAGTAATTTAATTTCATTTTTTAATAACTGATACATGCAGTTATTTGTTGGCGTGGTCTTACAGAATAGGAATGGAGTCATAATGAATCAAACATGCATAAGATAAATTCAACAAAATGAATCTTCACTACTGAAACATACATCAGTTAACAGCCTGCCTCAAAATACAAAAAAATCTATCATAATGTCAAGGCATGTAGTTTAAGCAGAGAAGTTTGTCGGTGCAACGCAGGAAAACAGAGCATTACTGTTGTAGAGCATATAAACTCATTAGGCTTACCAAAACACAAATTGCATATGACAATGTCATTACAAAGCTCATAATTTTCACAGGGCATCACAATCTTAGTACATGGCATTGAAGTACACTCTAGATTTGATTGTTTTAAAAGCTCATCAAGTGATTCATTTTCACAGCCATGACTGGCAACAAATTCCACTGATGATTCACATGAGAGAAAAAGCTTTACTTGAAACTACCTGAAACAGTCATTAGGAACATTGCTGAGCGGATATACACTGTGTCTGTGACTTGATGTTTCATGCGTTTTGATTTGAAAGGAATTGTAGCTTCATTCAGTTTGATTATAAAATATTATAAAAAAGGTACTTCAACCTTTCATATTGGGATTGTTTTTGTTGTGATGAGAGAACTGCAAGTTTACATAATTCAGTAGGTTAAAAAAATGGCGATACCTTATTTAAATATATGTGCGTAGAACTAAGGCGACGTATTTTTTTTTTCAAGGTTTACGCAGTTTGGGCGTACCGATCAGAGAATTCGTTAGCATGTTTGATTAGAGTGCTTGACGAGTTTGCGTACATACGCCTTTTTTATTTCGCGTGAGGCACAGTGGAGGTTACGTACGAGGCTTCAGAACACCTCGGTAGGTTTAGATCATAGTTTCTCTACATTAGGACTCTCTCGAAAGTAGTGTGTAATTAGGAGACCTAGGTACCTATACTGATGAGCATGAGCAAGTTCATGGCTAATAATAGTGTACGGCTAAGTAGGAATGTGCGTTTTTCTTTGTAGAAATCGACATAAAACAGTTTTTGTTTGGTTAAGCTACAATAGTCACTGATTGCAAAAGTTCTTAATTCTTTGGAAGGTAGAATTAGGTTCAACCTGGTCGCTGGGTGACTTTAATTTTGTATAATATGTAATCGCTAGCGAACATTCTTATTTGGAGAGTGATATTTTTTGGTGGAACGCGCCAAGTGATGAAAAAAAAATGAGCCAATTAGCTTACTCTTCTTTCCTTCATTCATTGCCAGGGTCTTGTTCTGGCAGGCTTGATGCCTTCAGGTGGAATGTGAAAAAAATACTAGTCAGTTGCCAGCTCGCAATAAGATCACGAGCTACGTGACACGAACAGCAAAAAAAAAAAAAAACAGTTTTCCATACTCATCGAATTTTCAACAGCTGGCAGTTGTAAAAACTTACGAAAAAGAAAACGAATGAACGCGTCTGACACTTGCTTGCTACTTTTGTGGCTAGACACACCCCTCGTGCTGGTCGAACGATTTACGTTCTATAGAAAATGTTTTCACTTTCAGTTATAAATATATTTGCAGCCCGGTAAGATACAACTGTATACTCTTGACAGAAAGTAGTGGTCTACTGTTCTTGATATACGAATACTTGCGGAATGTGGTCCACCCCACTGTTACACTTCTAGTTATTTTACTCTCATGGTTCAGCTCCATGGTCACTTCCTCTTTTATGTAAACATATTCTATTACAACTTCCAGCGTCTCCCCAGCTATCTCAAAGTGCCGTTTTCTGCTGAAACTGTTGCACATCATTAACTTTTGTGCATATTATCTTCAGACCTACCTTTTTGCTTTCCGTGTCCGGCTCAGTAATTATGAGCTGTATTTCTTCACCCTGAGGTAATCATCAAGACAATGCCATCAGCGAATTCCATGCTTCTAACATACTCTCCACTACCCCGTTTCCGTAACTCTACATGCCCTATCAAGGGCCCTGAAGACCTCCTGCAAGCACGTGGTAAGTAGCATTGTAGAGATTGTGTCGCTCTACCTTACACCCTTCTGTATTGGAATTCTGTCGCTTTCGTTACGGGGTACAATGATGGCAGTGAATCCGCTGTAGATTTCTTTCATTATTGTTAATATAGGTTTCATTGATGGCCTGATTGTCCAGAGCCTGAACGACTCCTAATATCTCCACCGAATCGAACATCTTCTCGTAACTATAAAAGCTGTGTAAAGGGGTTGCTTGTATTTCGTACATTTCTGTCTCACGTGATGGATTGAATGAATGTGGTTCATTGTTAAGTAGCTTGTACAAAATCCTGCTTTGTTCTTTCATTGACTTTACCGTAATAACGCCTTCATTCCATTTGCTGCTATTTTTGTAAGTAGCTTGTTGACAATGAACAGTGGAATGATTGGTACGTAATTTTTCAAGTCATTTACGTCCCGTTTATTATGTATAAGAGTGGTGTTGCATTCTTCACAAATTCTGGTACGCTCGTCGTCAAGATACACTTCGTGTAAGGGTTGGTGTGTTTTCCTATCACAATCTCTCCAAAATCTTTCAAAAAGGCTGATGTTACCTCATCCACACCAGCGAGTTTGCCCCTTCACATTTCCTCTACGGGTTTCTTACTGGTGGGTTGTCAGATTCCTCTGTGCTATTATTGCTTCTTACGTTATCAATGTGGTTGAATCGGCTGCTTCTCAGATCTCTTTACAACTCCTCTGCTACCTCAAAAATCCTATTATTATTGGTTGTGACCTTGCATTCGTTGTCCTTTATTGCATAAATCTGATTTTTACCCATGCTCTGCATGGGCGAAAATCGGATGCGTACACTGCTATAAGTTATATCGTCTGATGTCGGCTACCTTACGCATATATTGATTAGCTTCGAAAGCTTCACTAGCTCTATTTTATCGGTTGCAATTGAGGCTTTCATGGTTTATCGTCTTTTGATGAGTTTTTTCGTCTCCTCAAATAGTTTGCAAGGTTCTTGTCTAGTGACTGTACCTCCGACTTTCATTGTGTACTCTTTGACGACACTAGAAAGATTACGTGCGTTATGTCAACGCTAATGCAGGTAACCTCGTTAAGAGCATTCAATCCACTGTGAAGTAAAACTCTGAAGCTATATACTTCTTCTCCCACCACTAGCTCAATAATTGACCTCTTACATACAAGTTTACGCCTTTGCTTTTTCAGGTCTAGGTGAATACGAGCTCTTATCATTCTTTGGTCACTGCATCGAATCTTGCCAACTATTTCTACATCCTGTAAAATATCTGGGTGTGCACGCAGAATCTAGTCTACTTCATTTTTAGTTGCGTCATTAGGACATTGCCCCGTCTACTCACGGTTAGCCTGTTTTCAGAAGGAGTTATTTAGGATCCGTAAGCTGTTACGTTTTGTGAACTCTAGTTATAACTCTCTTCTGGAATTTCTAGAGCAGATGCCATATTCCGGCACTGCTAGGCCTCCGACCTATTTCTTATCTATTTGGCATTAAAGTCGCCCATCAGAGTAATATACTTTGTCTTTACTTAATTGAGGGCTGACTCTACGTTTTCGTTGAAGCGTTCAACCAAATGATCATCATGGCTCAACGTAGGCACGTATATCTGTACCATCTTTATCTTGTAATTTTTGTTAAACCTAATTATGATACTTGCCTCCATCTCACTGATGCTATAGAATTTCTTTATGTAACCAACGATATTCTTGTGTACAAAAAGCCCCAGTTCAAGTTCTTTTCTGTCAGCTAATCCATGGTAGCCTAGGACGTGTCCGTTTTTCAGCACTGTATAAGCCCCACGTGTGCTTGAAACATCGCCGAGGTCTATTACATCCCATTTAACAACTATATTTCCACAAATAGCACGGCTATATAGCTTGACTAGATAGCGTTCTAGCATTGAGCGTAGCCGAGGTCACTGTCTAATGGCAGCCTTTTCGCATCCGGAGATTCTTAGCAGCTTCCGCTGCCTCATATTTCTGACCAGAGCCTTGGACAGTTGCTTCGCAGCAACTAGGGATTGAGGGCCGAAGTTGAATTGGTAATTTCATAAGAGTGCAGGGGCCAATTGCTGTACCAGGGTTGCCAATTCTTCTCTGGTTAGCAAGTGCATTACCAGCAGCTGTTCGCCAGTGAGGCAGCGCCCCAGACTTCTTTTTTTTTAAG